AAAAAAAAAAAAAAAAAAAGACATCAGTAGATTCCCGATTTGATTGTCCGCTTCGATGAGAATTTTCTTAGAATGGAAATCAAATTAAATTAATGGGTACTGATTGAGTTTAATAATTTAGAAGGCTCTTATTTCATTATTTCACAAACATTTTCTGCAGATTGTGATTCAGGCTTGCACTTCGTGATTGCAGTGTTGAATGATATTAGCAATTATGATGAGGGAAACTAGAGGGGAAACTAGTGTCTAGATGTATAAGATAAAAAAAAATCTCAGAGTGATCTTACAAACTTCCTTCTCCACAGGAAATATTTTTACACTTACATTGCAGGAGCAAATGGCGCACGAGTCAAAACCGTTAGGAGGCAAGTAGGGATGCCATCTGGCCCCTGGTGGAAATAATTGGTCTCCTAAATGACAGCCCCTGGAGGCACCTGCTGAAATTTCCTGTATATTATCTAGAAAAAGAAAAAACAAATGACATTAGTCAACATTTTTAAAATCATCGACAAGATTCCTTTTCTTGCTTTAAAATCTACCATCGATTTTAAAACTGACCTTGAAGTTCTACATTTTCTGTGTCGAATTCAACTTTTTTAAAATCTTTCTGTGATGGTTGTGCAAACCGATGAAGATAGAGAAAAATCAAGCTAAAGGAAATAACTTCGGTGAATATCAGAATGTCTTTACCTTAAAATATTCTGTTTCCTTTGTTATCTAGACATGTAAACATTCTGAAAAAGTTGCTTAATGACTTGGCCACTCTGACTGATGCATCCTTGATTCAAAGCTTTTCCTATGAGCTTTAAAATACAATAATAAGTAAAACTTACTGCCACAACTTGGACAGCACTCTCCATCTTGCATGGTGGGTGATGAGCATTGGACTGGAGGGCAAAGGATGGGATCACATTTAACCCGCGAGTGAACACAATTACACATGGTGCAATGATCAACTGTTGATGTCCATTGAGATCCATCATCGTGGAATCGACTTCCATGATAGCAAGCCCCGCTTCCTTCAATGATGTTTCCGTTGCTGGGATCACTGTTGAAGTTGATTGTTGGAACATCGTTATCTGAGAAGTGGGGTAAGCACGAGGATGGCACTGACACCTACGGATGAATTTCAGGAAAAATTCAATTAATGCTCCTGTCTTGCCCTCTAGGTGCTCATTTTTATGTATAAGAGTTTCTAATAGTAAGGTTCAGAAATTTTGGTTTGGAAACTGGTTTTGCTTTAAGTCACACATTTGATGTCTCATAAAGCTCTTACAGCTGGTTCCAGAGGCTGCTGATTGTTCAAATAGAAAAGAGTGCACCTCTGGATAAGAATGAAAGGTCCTGATTTATTTTTTTAACTTCAGAGACTTTTGATGCAACTTCAGAGGGTGGGCATTTTCATTGTTACTTGTCTCAATTGGTGTCTGAATTTTTTAATCTCACATTTTATGATCACAATCTCTCCGAATTGCAGGAGAACATTAAATGTTCTGTTTACTCCCACCGTCTCTCTCTCGTACCTTTCTTCACAAAATGCAATTTTGAGGGACTTCAATTTTGTAACGATACATAAAGAGTTTAAATTTAGCATGCTTCAATTTCTTTAATGCCTCTTGAAGGAATTGAACAGCTTTTCAATTTGGAGACTTTGCACATTTAGACAAAAACCACCATTGGTCAAAGTATATTTTGTTTGAATTGATCTATTTAGCTAAGAGGAGCGGTTAAAAAAAAAAAAAAAAAAAAAAAGTTAAAAAATAGGCATCTTTTCTAGCAAACCACGACAGCGATAATCTGTTTATTGTATTCTCAAAGCCCACAGTCTAAAGAAATATGCTGTTCATTGCAGTTCCCTTAATATATATGAAAGATTCATCTTGTTTCCCAGCAGCAGTTGATTACTTTAAACTCTTGATCAAATCTCTGCAGAGTAAAACTGCAATGTTGTCAGCAATTAGGAAACTCACCTGCTTCCAGTGGCCCTTAAGAATAGTTGCTCCGGTCTTGCTGCTACGAATGTCAAAGTAAACTACTCCTGCCTCTAAACGCAGCAACTCATCTTGTGAGAGACCCACAGTTGTTCCTTCCATGTTAAGACCAACAAACTCCTCAAGAAGCTTTCTTGTTACGGGTGCTCCAGGGGCAATAAACGGAATATCTTCTATAAAAAGTTGTAAGGATTCATCTGCAGAAACTTGGCCGGTTATCATTACCTGAGTAGGATAATGCAAGAAAAAAAATTACACCTTATTGACAAGAAATAATATTGAGAGTTCTTAAAACTATTGCACAATAAAACTTGGCAATTTCTTGAAACTTGATTTCTGTGTGTCAGTGGCACTAGACAAAGAATTGTATTTTCATAGTTGGAGCTTTTAGATTAGCAAAAAAGTATAAGGTCTGTTCAAATGGCAAGTTTTAATTTTCAATAACAACATAGATATCTTTTATTGTAAAACACGGCATACGATGTCATCCACTGCAGTGCAGTAGTTAAACCATGATTTCTTCTTCCACCTTTAATTCATTAATTATGGTGATACACACATTTGCACAGGTTGCACCACTGAAACTGCGGACAAAGTCATGGTCGAAGAAACTATGATATACACCACTAATCACCACAATAAATCAGATAATCCAAGGCTTCATATATTTACCATTTAGTTGTGGATCAAGTCTAGATTTCAGTTCAACTGCCGAACACACTAGAACCCTGATTACTAGTAGGTATCTACCATGAATTCAAGTGCTCAAGAAGTTTTGGCAAGTAAGCTATTTTGCGAGTGAGTGGGTTCATTTAGAAGTTTTAAATATTGATGCTGATTCATTGATGAAGAATATAAATTCCAAGGATTTATTACTGGAAAAGTTGAAGTTTATTATAGTTTATTAGTATTGAAAAAAAAAAAAAAAAAAAAAAAAAAAAAAAAGACGAATAAAAATGAGAGAAATTGTATTCTTTCCTCCTCAACTGATACACAATACATTGTTGAGCTAGGATGTGGCTCGAAAGGAGGGGGCAGGGGGATTGCGCCCTCTGAGGCTCAATCAAACTTGACTGATGACAGCTGAATAAATTCCACGGCACCTATCATTCACGGTACCTATTATAAATCTTAACTAAAATTTCTAGTTTATCTTAAATTGGAAAAAAATAAATAAATTGATCGCTATGCACAAACACAGAAAACTAACCTCATAATGAAGATTACAGTCTGCATCAAAGAAAGCCCAAATTAGTCCAGTATTATTAGCATAAGTGGACACATTTGGGCGCATAAGGAATATAGGTGCAGGTGCGTTCCTAGCTTCAGCGACAATGCGTGGCACAAGTTTACCTCTAATTAGGCTTGGATTATTTGGGGTGCCAACGTTGATCCCAAGATCTCCAGCATACAGTTGCTCAAGATATTTTGGGGAGAGCCGGTCCAGTGTTCCATTCGCCCAGCCATTTTTCAGAGTTGGCGTCAAATCTTCGAGTTCCATAAATTTTTTTGATGCTTAAAAAGGATAAATTAATGTTATTAATTACTGGTCCTTTAGTGAGATTACTCATAAAATACATGTTAAGAAATCAATTTTGTTATGCTTTGTTTATTTAGCAATGCATCTTTAAGTGTCTGTCTTTGTACACTATTTTACTTAACTATTTTCCCACAACTTAATCGGTAAGAGAGAAGCATTAGGGCCATTGCTGAATGATAACCATACAGAGAAATAAATGAAAATATGAATTTTTTTTATTTTTATTTTTAAAGAGTTTATTTATTGTAATCTTCCTAGGAGGAAATAAATACGATTATCTTAATGTATGTAAATAAAGGTATATAAAAGTAATGACTGGATAATTACTTATTTCTATAATGATAGAAAATATAAGTGAGAAAATAGTGCTTACCAACTGATCCCAAGGTGACAACAGCAACCTCATCAATGCCATGAAGTTGCACAGTGTACTGAAGGAAGCCTTCTTTATCAACAAACATCCAACTTAATCCAGAAGCAAGGGTGACCGGATAACTGTGAATAATAACACAAATTTTAAAAAACCAATTTAAACTAAGGGACATAATCAATTTGAAAATATTCTGTATTGAAATAACACTCTAAAACTCTGATGTCATCATATTTATTTTGTCCTTGGTCCCAGTTCAAAATCGAATGAATGTCACAAGATTTTAACACGAGGAAAAAAACTACCGTTGTAGTTCATAGGTTGCTTTTATCAGAAAAAAAAGATAAATCCTTCCTGTTTTAGAGCTTAGTTGATTCGTTAACTAAAGTCAACAAGCTACTTTTATAGCTTAAAATGTACATGAGAAAAAGAAGAAATATTATCATCATCCGTGATGAGTAAGAAATCTTTACTAAGTACCTATCAAAGTAAGGGGCCGTTCATAAAATACATAATGCTTCAAGGAGGAAGGGGTCAAGAGGAATGATGCAATATTTTTTTGTGTATGTTGGAGAATACAAACCCACACTAAAAAAGCATTACAAGATGGAGAGAGAGATCAAAAAATCCGAGATTTAGCGTTACTGAACGGTCCTAGGTAGTCATCTTACATTTATGCAAGAGGAGATTGAGGAAGGCAGAAGAATATTCAACACCTACAACTTCTTTTGCTAATATTGTACAAAGAATTCAGTTTGATGATATTGTGGGAGTGTCGCGAATAGGGCCAGGATTTATCCTGGTAAAAAGGATACCTAGCTGCATGCATGAAGGAAGGACTTCGTGCACTGCTTGTGCTATAACTTTCTAAAACTTTGTAATTACATAGACCTGTGGGTGTCATTTGAGGTCAGTAGGTATCATTAATGTTGAGCATATTTTTTGGTAAACACCTGCGCATTTTACTTACTCATGAATAGAATTGCCAGAGTCTAAGTCAGATTGATACGACAGCGTTGACTGCATTAATTGACAGGCAACTCTAGTGACTATCGGTCCTGCCAACTTTAATTCTGAATGTTTCGATGATAAGATGACAGTCAACTTTTGCTTTGATAAGAGCTTCAAATCATTTGCTGTCACAACAGAGCTAAACTCGATAGTGTTGAGTTCATTTGAGGGTTTCTCAATTTTGATAATCTGAAAATTAGAGAAACAAATTTGGCTGTTAATCTCAGAAAAAACATTGGTAAGTAAAACTAAAAAATGAAGATTTTATATTCATTTTCAATGCGGTACCCATCTAATTTTCTATTATATTCAATTTTTGGAGGAATGTACACACTATCTTATATATCCTCAGAGATTTTTACCTGATCCAGATCTTTACCTGTTTGGCAAGATGGAATTGAAATGAAACAAGGAAATTCCAGGAAATCATAACAATGAGTTGAGATTTTACAATTTTTCTACCAAAACTTGATGGTGTTCTTTACAGCAGGTTGTCTAATGACCTTTCAAGAGACCAGACCTGATTTTAAGGTATATGGATGCTATCAATCATATGGCACCTCTTCGGATCATGAACCAAATTTGCTTTTAAACCTACTAGGACACTTACCGTTTCGGATTAATGCTGCTGGGAGCTTTAAGCCATAAGGAATACCAGCGCAAATCTTGCACAGAGAATGACCTCCAGTTGCCCTAGGAATATTGAACATCGCTCATGACATACCTACATATCTCGGCAGCTTCATTAGCATTCTTTACCAAGTTTGAGAAAAGTAAGTAATGGAGGATTGTCACCAGTCAAATTCCATCAACTTTCAATAAAAATTACCTCATGCTAATATTCGCATTGTTTGAACTATTAAATAAACTGTGCAACCTGGACTACCTACCCTTAATTGTTTAGAAAATAGTTACACTTTCTGGAAAAATGAAGAATCTGTGCTATAAACACTTTACTTTAAGTATATACTAAAGTACAAACCTCGTCAATGACGATGTGTCCTTTCTCTGGATTGACAATTTTCAAGTTCAAAGGTACATCAGCGACATCCTCAGGAGTAAAGACACCATTGAAGAGGAGAGTTATGTGAATAGAAGGTGCGCTGGAAGCGACTGAAATTATTGCGGAGCCACCAGCTCCTTCATCCCCACCTTCTAGAAGAGCACTGTATAACTCAGAGGACAATGCTCTGTACCTGAAAAAGCAATTCCACAGTCCATTATCATAAAGGATAGAGAATAATAATAATAATAATAAGAATGTTAATGTTGAAACAGGTCGACAGGCTTTTGAGTGAGTCAGACAGAGATTATTTTAGAGGACCATTATTCTTCGGCAAAGCAAAGTACCTACCTAGGTATTGGCTGAGGAAAGATACATACCTAATTAAATTAGCAAGTAAAAAGAATAGAAAGGGAAATGCAAAGTGAACTGCGATACTTATAAAGAAAATTACCGGATGGTATTGTCTCATGATGTGATAAAATGATCTTCTCAAATCAAGAGTTCAAGAGGGAAAAAATGATTGCTAGGTTTACAAAACTCATATGCGTACAACACTTACACAAAGTCGGATTGTCATTAATGTCACTTGCATGACAATAGGAACTTTATTTCCGTTTTCAGATCCGAAACAAGTAAAGATGATTGATGCTCAATTAGAGAGGCACCCAATTAGTGATAAGATAAATATATAAATTATATAATTAACCTCTAAAAGAACCATGCCGTAGAACATTGTAACCACGCGGGGAGCCGCCATTTTCGTGAACTGCGAGATTTGAATGAGTGACTCATTAACCCTCCACCAATCAGCACTCGTGTAGCATCGAGGCCAAGGTCAAATTTACGTTACGTTACTACGTTTACTCACGCGGTCATTCACCCTGTCCACTCGCAATACTCGGAAACCAATCATCATTTCTGATCCTAGGATCCGCTTAATTTTGTTTTTGAATGTCTCTGAATTTTGGTATTTAAATTCTTCTACTACTTGTTTGTACAATTATCTATCATCCTTTTTAACTGAAGAATTTATTACATTCCAATCTTTGTAATACAATAAAAGTTAGAGTACTTCTATTTATTTCCCTATTTCTTTTTATTTTGCTTATTAATGTTTTGGGTCTGATTCCTCATGTTTTTTCTTCAAAGGGGCTGTCCATAAATTACGTAACGCTCCAGGGTGCGGATGGATCTTCATAATTTTGTGACCGAGCGCGAAAAGGAGATNGAGTATGAGTGGGTGTTAACAAATCGGAAAAATCGTTTTTCGTAACGTAACGTAATTATTGGACAACTCCTAATGCACTGATGGCGAGTTGATAGCAAAAAAGCGCTCGCTATTACCGTAGTATTTAAAATGCACGAGTATCTGTCAGTCTTCATGTGACCATACAGCTCAGTGTTGAAAAGATCATGATTGAATGTCCCCTTGCAAAAAGAAATCGACCCACAAAGAGAGTCGATAAAAAGAAAGAAAGAAAAAAAGGGAGCGTCACTGACCTAAAAAGCTGTCCGCCTAGCGTGAGCTCTGGTCGATCCCACAGGAGAGAGACCACCATCTTTTCTTCCCGCATCAACTTGCGGTAGTCCCGTGGCACTCTTTTCCAGACGCCGCAAATCTTTCCAGTGGCGTTTTGGTAGCTTGTATTCGCCGGGATCACCTGTGTCCAAGCACATGTATAAGGTAAGGATTCAAGGATTTGTGAAAGGTCAAAATAGAGAGGATGAGAGCCGCTCTTCTGATACTTTTCTTCAATGGGCTTATACTCGACAAACTCTAGAGGGTGGACTTTATGATGCGATTTGGAATTCTGAATTTAACCCACTAACAGAATCAAATTCCTCGAAAAATTGAATCAAATGGTTGTAGAAGAAATTAATCTCATTGCTGGTACAAAAAAAGTGAAAAATCTGCCGCTTCTATATTGTGCTGCTGAGAAAGAACACCGTATGAACATTCCGACGTTGTCTTTTCCCGATAAAATCTTGAGTTTTAAGAAAAGGTATGAATATTGCATATTGAAATTTTCAAATCCTTTGCGAGTAAAATTCTCTGAAAAATTGGAAGAAAAATTAAGACAAATTTTCCTGAAAATTTTGATTTTATCGATGAAAATCTGGCAACGTCTGAAGGTTTATACTGCGCTCTCCCTCAGCAAGGCAGTCTACGCTGAGAAGAATCGGCCTGTATAGCATATTTAATAAAGAAACTAGGACATTTGGGTTTTTTTTTTTTTTTTTTTTTTTTTTTTTTTTAATGCTGAGCAGCGAATGCGAAATACCGGAATCGATCAGTCAAATTGTTCGGTTCCAGAAAGTTTTAGTTTTTTTCTTCAAGGCAATAATAAAGCATAAGGCATAAGGTTTCTATAAAGCATATAAATACATTTACATACATGTTCCTCTAGGATGTTGCCTTGGAGATCCAAGAATTGGATACCCCGAGGACGGGATGTGCTGTAGAAAGAGTAGTAGAGGCTCCGCCGATGGAAAACAAATCTGCCAGTTGCAACGGACTCTTGCTGAAAACGCTTGTAGTTGGTCAACTCATCGCGGTCCAAGATCTGGGAGGTCCTTCCTGTCAGTAGGGTTGCGAAATCTACCCCGTCAAAAAACAAAATTTATATATGTATCAGAAATTAAAATGAGAGCGAACCCCCTTTATCATAATTTCTACCACCTGAGTGTGACTTACGCTGGGTACTTTAATTGATCATCCTCTGATGGCTGTGAATAGTCCACATCTTTAAACCGACATCACCCAGGACATATATAAAAACAAACAATCTTTTTCCGCTACTGTCATAAATCTCGAGATGAGTTTTTATTTTTAAATCCTTTTAAAATCGGTTGTTTTTCTAACTATCGCATGATACCTTTTTATCATCTGCATTTTAAACAGATAGGTACTCACGTGTTATCATTTATGACACGAGTTGTGTAAAAATAAATCTACTGCGATGGATATATTATGGTCCATGGGTCGCAATACAGTGTTCCATATCGGTCAAAATATTCGGTTCATGTGCACCCTATACTAAAATTTTGGTTTTGGTAACCATGCTCTCGGTTCATGCAACCAAACTCTTTACACAGTTTAGTTCACACAACCGTACTCTTTACATCGTTTGCTTTAGTATGAAAGTTTACTCATTAATTAGTTTACCGTGGTAAAATTTTAGAACATTCGTGAGTCTTAAAAAGTTTTACAAGATGAGTATTCAGAAGTAAATTTTTAAGAGAGGGTAAGGGGCAGGGAAAAAAACGTTTTCGGATTTCTTTATAAAGTGGGCAACGTGATCCACTGTTAAGGGGGATTTTGGACAAGAAGTACAAGCAGGGCGGTTTGATTGGGTCATCAAATAGCTATGGGAAAAATTTGTGCGACCAATTCTCAGAAAAAAAGAAAGAAAGAAATGAGAAAAACTGATACCTGAGACTTAAAGAAACCTTAAATAAAAAAGATTCGTCAAAATCATTGAAAGGACAATTTGCTCTAGACAAAAACTCACATTTAAGACTCCGCTCGTCCTCCTCTGACGGGGCTGCGTCTTGAACAATGTCAGGGGCTGAAAAAAGGAAGAAAAATTTAAATAAGAACAGATTTACTAAAACAAATGACGAAACAACTCACGCGGCACATCCATTGCCAGGATTGTGAGATAATTTTTGTAATGAGTCAACGGTAATGGTTTTGACACTACCATAAACTTTATCACATGATTTTAAAGCCTGAAATAGAGGATTAAATCAAATGAGGAGTGGAGCAAATGCATGTCAACAATAATAGTTGAAAAAGGACGTGTGCATTGGCGGATCCAGCAAATTGGCAACATTGTTTTTCTCCATTTAAACCCATGGAAATGTATCGATTCTTGAAGGGGCCAAGTGCTCCGACAAGAATCGATCATTTAACATAGGTTTAAATGGAGGGAATCCGGTGTTGTCGAATTGCTGGATCCGCCTCTGGATGTATGACGTACTAAATTGAAAGAAACGTAAGGAGACACATTATCTACTTCTCTCGGGTTCAAGTTCTCAGAAAATCCATTTTGGGGAGAGGAGGGATAGGTTTAGGGAGGAGGTGGGCACTTGGCAGTTAGCCCTTTCCTTAGAAAACAAGATTGAACTTTTTGATGGCTAATAAAGCTCTTGGAAGCCACAAGGGTTTGCGATTGAAATGATTCTTCATATATAAAAGTTACGCAAAAAACACGATGATACCGCTTGTTTTTTCTGAAACAAATTCCCAAGCTCAAAAAAAAGCTCTTAAAGTTGAGGCCGTAATGGAGAGAATCACCTACTTTATGAAGAGAGTACCTCTCTACACCCAGTCGAACTTTTCATTCACAGATAGGGAGCTAATAAATTAGCAAGGTTTGCAACTTTGTGCTGGGCCGCTGCACGGCAGCCACGCTCATGTATTCGCGCCCCACCTGTGCATGGGGAGTTCAATGGGATACCAAAGATGCGTCGTTACTACAAAATCGCCAACAAAAATGGCTGCTCTCGGTCACCCGATTTGACTTGGTGACCGATTCGTCATTTTGACGTCAAAGTAAAGATTCCGGATCAAATGCCCATCAACGCCCGGCCAATAGTGCAAAACCTCGATCAGCTGATTAGCAACTCATTGGGAGACCATTTTCGGAATCAGAAAAAAAAAATTACAAAAAGCAATGACTTAAATCGCAAATCTCTGCATGTTGTGTGCAAAGGCTACATTTAGGTCGATTTCATTGGGACCTGCAGACTCACTCAAAAAAAAAGAATCCTAAATTTGCCACCAATAAGTATTTTTTCTCAAATCAAGAATTTTGCTGCTTAATATAAACTACTTTTTTGCTTAACCCAAGCATTATTTTTCTTGTATCAAGGAAAGTTCAGCTTAAATCAAGATGAAAAAAATTATTGGCGGCAAATTCAAGAATCACCATATCTGAGCCAAGCACCCCCCCCCCCAGTGTACATCCCCCCCCCCCCCAAGAAGTCCCGAGATCCTCCTCTGGGAAATTTGTTCCTAGCTTGTATCTGAGTATTGCGCTGAGTGAAATCAGAGGACGAAAAGGCCCTGCAAAGGGGGAAGAATTCAAATGCTTTGCTCCCATCGCTGTGAGCCCGCAAGAACGGCGTAACTTCCCTGGAAACCTTACGTAGACAAGCCGTTTTTGAGAAGATATGAAAAGGAAGGAAGATCAGCCACTGGGCACAGCCACACCCAAAGAGCCTTGCCCTTGCACGAGCGAGTGAGCGGGCCTCCCGCTCATCAGCGCGGAGCGCGGAGGTAATAAGATGCAAAAATGCACGGCCGATTGCCGATTGTCTAAATCAGTTTTCGATCCAAGAACAAGAAAAGGAACAAGCATCGTCCATAGTTCTGTAACAACTCATTTCTCTCGCGAGAACATCCCGGAGGAATGCACGAGACTGCCGATTAGAAGTGCGTCTTACGTAATGGAGCCCATAGTCGCGGTTTCATTGCATTTCCCGGGCTCCGTCACTTTGATTACGGACGCATGGGCGCCACATCTCGGCGGGTGTCCTGCCTTTTAAAGCGCCTGTCAATGATCTGCGAAATTAGCTCTGCAATCAGCTCTGCCGATCAACCCTGGCACGTAATGTCTGATTGTTTTTACATTAAAATATGTTTAAAAAAAAAAAAAATCTTACAACTTTGGGGACAGCCGTCTACTCTCGTCCCATACCCACGCCCCCACTGAATCCCCAAAAACGGAGGAGATCTCTTTTTGAAAAAGCCTCGGGCTTTACTGCAGAACTGATGTGACAGTACTGCCGTGCGAAGGAAAAACGTCATGTAAACATTCGAGAGTTGCCAAATTTCCTCCGATAAAAAGGTTTATTTTTGAGGAATACTATGGATATTTTGCCTTTAAATTTTCCGAAACTTTTGGTGAAATTGTGAACAAAATTATCTGAAAAAAATGGAAGGAAAATATCCCCAAGTTTACCAGGAAACTAGAATTTTATCAAAGGAAATTTGGCAACGCCTGAAGGTTCATACGGCGTTTTTCCTTAGCACGGCAGAGTATTTCAGCAACAGGTGGACACGTAGTGGCTCATTTTTTTCCTTTGCATATTTATTTTTCGGCATAATTTCGTCCGTGTGCTGATTCATGGCGGGAGCGTTTGCAGAGGTGTTGTGCCCAATTTAGCCGCTTCGCATGGCGCTGTCGTAGGTTGGCCGCTGGAAAGTGACCCTTCATCTTTGGCCCTTTTACGGATACTTAAACCGAGAGGCACAGCCAGAGGTGCTCTCAACGCCGCACCCACTCCACCGCACACAGGGTCAAAATGAATCGCATTTAGCTGAAGGGAACAAGCGCAGTTTTTGATCGGATGATCTGAATAAGCCTCTAGTCATTCATTTCAATATACCAAGGGTATTTTCTTATTTCCCTCCGTATATTCAGTTGCAATCCTAGCAGAAGACAACACGGAACGAGTTGTGAATTGGTTTCCCTCTGGAAAGAATCTCGTCTGATTCATAAAAGGATGGAAAAAACCAGTCATATTATATAATTTTAATTAAATAAGTCGGAGTATTAATTGGATAATTTGAGGTGGTAGCAAGCTCCGTTTGGGCTCACTGTGCGGAAGTTGGGGGCTGATCAAAGCTCGCTGATATCCGGTGCACGATATTCGCACTCGAATTATGGCTCTCAGCGCGGAGACATCGCGAGGAAATTAATCATTTCGCTGCCGTGACATTTTGTGCAGTCCCGAGTTGGACGTCCGTTTTATTTTTCTTCTTTTTCTCCTAATAAAAAGTTCGGGGAGGAGGGCGAGGAGGAGGGCAGCGGAGGCCGCTAACCTAATAAGCTCGATATCCTTCCTCGTAAAATCAGAACTGACCCACGCAATAGACGTCAGCTCACAGTCAGCGTCTCCACTATCGCGCAGCGCGGAGGTATAATTTGTTATACATGGAAGTAATTTTTCTGCAGGCCGTTCGTCAGCGACCGTGTCCTGAGGAGATGGCAAAATCATTGTTTACTCCAACGTATCTCCGCCCCCTTCCTCCGTTTACCATACTTTGCTAAGAGTCCTGCTGTTAGTAGCATCGATTAACAAAATGTCTCCTCCTCTACTTGAAACTACTTTTAATCAGAAACACTTTAGTGTCACAAAGTATAAAGAGTGGGATTTTTTTGGCAAATTATTTGGCTTCTTTTTTTTTTATTCCGTAAGTTAGGAATATACCAGCCATCCACGGATCTATGTGTTAATGTAGAGATTTATAGTCTGTATATACATCAGAGGGATTTTAGGCACGTCCATGCACCAGGTTTGTCAAATTTTCAGGGATCAAGGTCGAGTAGAATCTGTCTCTGCAGATCCACTCGTTAGTTCCGTGAAAATACGACTGTGGCCTTCATTTACCGGGTATCCAGCGGCTTAAAAATAGTAACTATTGTGTTTAAAATGAGCCCAAAGTTTAAAAACATTTCCCATAGAGCGGCTCGTATGGGTATCGGGTATGTGTATGGTGTGGTGACACATGGTTTATATTTCTACATATGGCCTCCTATCTTAGGGGTAACAACATATTATAATAGTCTAGTCATTATTAAATAGTCTATTATACGAGTAAGTATTCTAATCTCTCTGTCAGAAGGAGAATACTTTTTAATTTATAAAATAAAACATATAAAATAAAAATTAAATAAATAAATAATAATAAAATAATAATAAATAAATAAAATAATATATAAAATAAAAAATTAGCTAAAAATTCAAGTAGTCACCTTGGGAGATGGGTCAGGGTATAATTTGTGTGCCTACTTCAAATGAAGTATTTATTATTTGAGCGAGTACCCAGCCCCTCGTCCTGGCAGCTCAAAAGTCCGGAAGTTTTCACTCAGTGGTGAGGCTCGTGGATTTTGGGAGTGGGAGGCTCATAAAATCTCCCACTGGTGAAGCTACCTCCCTTATGACCGCGGGCTGGAGCTTTTTATCGTCTCGCCGCGACCTGCAGACTCCAAGCAGACACGTCTGCTAATGAAAACAACCTACCCACGCCACACTTCGACAGCGGACGCCCTGCTACAGCACTCATTTCCTCGCGCCAGCGTTACCAAGTTGCTCTGTCTGTCACCGCTCACCGATATGGATCCTATTCGATAGCGATTCGATGTATCGTTTGCTTCAAAACCAAACGATAAACAAACATAATCTCAAACGATAGAACATAATTTCAAACAAAAATTTTAGGATTTAAGTTGGAAAATCCGAATATGAGAACAGTTTCACCTCTCATTGCCATTTTTTACTCATAAGAATCGAAAATCTATCACAAAAAACCCGTTCCCTCAGATTTCTAGATTGATTTTTGTGGCTATGTTTACATGTTGAACCAATCGATATCCATACAATCTCACCTGATTGATGTATTGGATACGATCTGTAATCAACCGTATCTTCTCGTAAACTAGTGTCAAAGGATCCTGGATCCAATAGTCATACTAGTAGTCCACTAGTCGTGTGCTGTAACATCAAATTCGCCGTATTAGCGCAAATAAAAATAAGATCTGTTTAAACGCCGAGTCC